GTCAACCAAAACAGAAAATTTCCATTCACATAATTAACCTTACAGTGCATCAGTTGATCTGTGCTTTCCACCAGTGCCATGTTCCTTTTATTCTCATCCCAATGGATCCAAATTCTGCCATTATCATGGTGTGAGTAGTTATCTATATAGTTGCCTTCTAATCTCAATTTCCGACGAATACAAGTTGCATTCTTTGCCTTAACTCTAGTTTCGATTAAAACAGATATTACAGGGGTTAGTTTTTGGAGACGAGAGCTGATCTCCCTAACTTTTCCTGCTTTATTCATCCCTCTGATGTTCCAAGAGACAATCATGGGACATCGTCTAGGAACACCGAGGCTGGATCATCCCCGAGAGTTGCATAAAGGTTCCCGTCATTCTTCGTTGGCTTCCTGTTTTTTGGACTTGAATCAGTATCAAAACGATTGGACTTTACTTTGTCTTTCCTCCTCACCTTTGTGCACGCCATGCCTTCGTCTGTATCTGTTTGTTTGCTACTCGTCATTCGCACAATTGATCCAAATTTAGTATGTTTCTGTCCTGTTACTTTCTGTGTTGGTGTCTTCAAGGTCTCCACTTCCTTTTCAGCCACACTATCATCTTGAGGCTTCTACACTTTTGGGATCCACTGCTTGGTTGGGTTCTTCAGTTGCTTCTCCTCACATTTATGCCCAATCCGCTGGCATTTAGTGCAGTATGGAGGCCTCCATTCATATTCTACCCTTTGTTGCATCTTCTCTCCTCTCTCATCTGTTATAGTGATTTCAACAATGAGTTCTTGTGTAACATCAATTTCAACTAGAACTCTAGCATACGAGATACGGTATCTATTCGCGGTGCATTCATCAATCATCAACGGGGTGCCCAACACGCTCGCTATCTTCCCTAAATTTTTTGCTCCCCATAGGTGCAGCGGCAGTTAAGGAAATTGAATCCATACCAGGATTGTGCGTAACATATCCTTCTTCAAATTGAAATTTGGTTTCCATTCAGCTAGCAGCATCGGCATATTGCGTATGGTGTAAGGCCCTTTTCCCGAGTACATCATCCCTCTCCTTGTGTGAATGAAATCTCAGTACAAAATATTCTTCGTTGTTGTAATACATGTCAGGCAACTTCACGAAATTCCATTGTTTTAGCATGAATTGTTTGACCATGTTCATACTTAACTCTCCTCCCATTACATACATGATCAATGCCGTCTCCCAGAATTTCACCTCTGTTTCAGTGTCTGCTTCTTCAATACGTACCTCAGCAATACCATTGACAATCGTTGGTGCGATGAATTCCAGTTTTAACCCGTTCCCAGGATTCCGATTTCCACTTATAACATCTACCCATAGTCTTCTAGGTTCTGTTTCCCCTTTTGGTGAAATTAGGGTTTCGGATTTGCTGCTTCCCTGTTCTTCTACAATCTCCTTTGTTAGCTCTTCTCCTCCATGTTGTGTTTTGCTTACATTCGCGTTGGTTTCAGATGGTATGTCGTCGTCTTTGTTGCTGATGGCTGGTGACGGCGTCGACACCACATTTGGTGGTCGTCCTCGCCTCCCCATGTCTTTTCACACTTGCACAAAATTTAGAGGAATGCTATTTTTCGATTAATTAAAGAGGTTTTGAAAAGGCCTAGGCTTTTTTATAAGCCTATTTAGTTAAAAAGGTTAGGCCTCAAGCCATAAAAAAATCCTTTTAAGCCTAACAGACCAGTCTATTTAAATAAATATGAATAATTTTTTTATTATCTTGTTATGTTTTGTACTTTGAGTTAAAATACATAAATAAAAATAGGTTATTTTGGAGAACTTATGAAAATAAGATAAAAACACCTTATGAACAATGTTATAAGTAGTTTTCATAAGTTATGTTAAACAAATAGTCTCACAAAATATATGCTAATAAAAAATAAATCAATGCAAAAAAAAACTTTTAATCTCATTAATTTTTTAGTTTGTTAGACTCTTTAAACATTATTTTAATTGTGTGTTTATATAATTTTAAAATAATAAGCTTTTATTTAGGCTAACAAGACCTTAGAAAAGGCTAAACTCAGGTCTAAAAATGCAGATTACAGGCCAGACTTAAAAACTTCAGTTTTTTTTGGCAGAGACTAGGCTTAAGTGAGACAAAGTCTAATTCGACCCAACCTATTTCTGACTCCTAGTGACAGTCAATTTTACAGTTCTAGAGTGAAACTCAACCTATACTCAATACTACCGTGTTGCTTCGTTGCTTCGTTGCAGGTTTTCACCCAGTTCAATCGTTTGACGGAAATCCCAAGTTTTTTCTTTTTCTATTTTTATAGATTGCTTCGTTGAAGAGGCTTTATCCTTTATGATTTGTGGGACCAAAGTTACAAACAAACAAAACAAGAAATCAATAATGGTTGTTGTGCACACACTTCAAAGCTTATCTATTTATATATATTTTATGAATCATATTTAGTTCTTGATAAATGGTTCTTGATTACTTTGGATGATTCAACATTGGTATTTTGAAAAGAAAAAAAACATTGGTATTTTGAATTGCAACTTTTATTGAAAAATAAATTATAAACCACCAAAACCCTAACTCTTTGCCTTGCAGGTTCAGACAGAAGTTTTTTTTTTAAGCATATGGAGAGAGAGGCTTCAACTATGGTTGATATTGAATTATATCTTATTCTTATATTATTGGATTATGATACATTTTCTGGTTCAGTTGTAATAACTTCTCGCATTTTTCGTAATTTGCATCATGCATCGCCCGGTACATATACTAGTTCGGTTATCTTTATGCTTTTCTGGTAATAACTTAGTTGCGGACTTTACACTATTGTAGACTATTAAAGTAAAGGGAGGATATTCTAGGTTCTCTTTGCTTCTACAAGATGTAGAATTTATTTGGTCTCAAGAAGTACAAATCAGCATATTCTGCTCCAGCATTTAGCAGAGGAAATTGATGCATTGAAAATATATGTTTAGACATGGCATGCTTTGATAAATGATAGTATATGTTTAGACATGGCATGTTTTGATGACCTTGTTAACCCAATCTCACCAAATCTTGATATTAAATCAGGACCATATATTATTCAGAAGGAGACAAATTAGTTAAACAGCAAAGCAAGTATGGCCTCACACTTATTTTTCTTACAAACAAACAACTATAATTGGTACCCTTTTTGGTGCATGTTATACATTTGTACTAGTACTAACACAAGGAGAAAAATATTAAATGTATGTATTATTGTTCAATATTTAGATGGTTAGAAAAACACTATCCATTTAAACCAGTTATGCAGAATGCCAAGCAAGCAGGAGTTATCATCCACATGTCAAGTGATGATAGGTTAGCTCACAACAGCCTCAAATGAGACATCACTTCACAATAATAAATAGTTAAATAAAGAGAAACAAGTGCATAAGTTGTGTGTGGTAAAGAGGCTCATTCATTGCAGTGAGGGATAAGATTGCAGTTTTTTTTGTTAGACAGTGAACTATGGCTTCTGCAGCATCAGCATCCCTTTTCAAGTCATCACTTGTTCTTGACAAGTCTGAATGGGTGAAGGGATCAACGCTCCTCCGTCAACCTTCTGTGTCTGTTGTGAGATGCAACCCTGCCGCTCCGTCAGGCCTCACCATCAGAGCCAGTTCATATGCTGACGAACTCGTCAAAACCGCGGTATGAGAGTTTAAAAACTTTGCAAGTTGCTAAAACTAGAAGCATGTCATAACTGGACTTAGTTCTTCAAACTAACATGCCTGAAATTTATATTCACAATTATAATTTGTTTTAATAATTCTTTGCACTGTTGAATTCTAGTGTTCACACTAGCTTGTTGGTTAAAGGATATGAACTTCAATTGTTATTTTCCTTGTTTATCTACTTAGAGCATTTAAAATAGTGTCTTATTGGGTTCTTGAAGTTAAAAATAGGTTCTTATTTGGCTTCACCACTAGAGTTGGTTGAATTTCATGTGGGCGTCACATGTAAGAACTGTTATTGGCGTAAAATTAAAAGAGTAGACTTAAGAAGTTGAGAGTGAGATACATGTTACACTTAAACATATGACATAGAAAGGGCCATTAAATGAAGCTACTCTAACTGTATTCATAATCGGACATGCTGTAACTTCTAAGTAATGATACTCCGTTTTCGCATTGTTGATGCAGTGTTGTATGCTTCGTTGTAATTTTTCTAGAAAATATGAAACTTTTGTTGGGAATTTGCATCTAAGAAATGATATTCCCATTTTACATTGTTGATAAATATTTTATGTTTCATTGTATTAATTTGTTGTGTCTTGTTTATTGTTGCTTGTGTGTGGTTGTAGAAAACAATTGCTTCACCAGGGCGTGGTATTTTGGCAATGGATGAGTCTAATGCTACATGTGGGAAGCGTTTGGCTTCAATTGGACTAGAGAACACCGAAGTTAACCGTCAAGCATGGCGTACACTTCTGGTTACAGTTCCAACACTTGGAGAGTACATCTCTGGTGCCATTCTCTTTGAGGAGACTCTTTACCAATCCACAACAGATGGAAGGAAGATTGTTGATGTGCTTATCGAGCAAAACATTGTTCCGGGTATTAAAGTCGACAAGGTAAGCCATTTGTAACTACACTTTTTGTTAGTAAGATGATTATTTTTCAATTTCTGTTATGCTGCCGAATAAGTAATGAAAAGAATAAGCCTGAGTGCTAGCTGATACCATTATGATGTCTGCTTATGTTTATCCCTACTTATGAAAACAATAAACCATTGTTTATGTGATGTGACATTGAACAATAGGGTCTGGTGCCCCTTGTTGGTTCCAATGATGAGTCATGGTGCCAAGGTCTAGACGGTCTTGCTTCGCGTTCAGCTGCATACTACCAACAAGGTGCCCGTTTCGCCAAATGGTTAGTGTCCATTTGATCTCGTGAAGAAGCAAAATCAGAATTTCATGCATTTATTTCTCTTTTGTATACTTATTAATTGTCATGCTCAATTTTTTAACCACATGAATCCCAATTGCATATTAGGCGTACTGTTGTGAGCATCCCCAACGGTCCCTCTGCTCTGGCAGTCAAGGAAGCGGCCTGGGGTCTTGCTCGCTATGCTGCAATTAGTCAGGTGAGAAAATCACTCGAATTATGTATGTGTTTTCTTTTAAGTCAGAGTTATTAGATCACATCAGTAAAGGGCTAAAATATGTTCATTTAATGGTATATTAGGACAATGGATTGGTCCCAATTGTGGAACCAGAGATCTTGCTTGATGGAGAACACGGTATTGATAGAACTTTTGAAGTAGCACAAAAGGTTTGGGCTGAAGTTTTCTACTACCTTGCTGAGAACAATGTCCAATTTGAGGGTATTCTCCTCAAGCCTAGCATGGTTACTCCAGGAGCCGAGTCTAAGGACAAAGCCTCTCCTACAAAAGTCGCCGAGTACACCCTCAATCTCCTTCACAGGAGAATTCCCCCTGCTGTCCCTGGTATCATGGTATGTGAGACTAACCAAATACATTTTTCTTTGTATTCCAAATTTTGATCTTTGTTCATATGCAATGAAGCACTGACACATACACTGAACACGACACTGCTACAATATGTCATGTTCTTGTTCGTTTTGGACACCAGACGCATCTTCAATCAATAGTGTCAGTGCTACTGAGTTTTATGCTGACCAAAGTTATATATTGTACTCTACTATGTAGTTTTTGTCTGGTGGACAATCTGAGGTTGAAGCAACCCTCAACTTGAATGCCATGAACAAATCTCCAAACCCATGGCACGTGTCATTCTCATACGCAAGAGCTCTCCAAAATACCGCATTGAAGACATGGGGAGGCCGCGCAGAGAACGTGAAGGCGGCACAAGAGGCACTCCTTTTCCGCGCCAAGTCCAACTCACTTGCTCAACTTGGAAAGTACATCGGTGATGGTGAATCTGAGGAAGCCAAGAAGGAATTGTTTGTCAAAGGCTACTCTTATTAAGATGTTAGTATTCGTACATGTTAGTAAGCATAATGAGGAAGAATGAATGGAAATGAAAGACTAGTTTGTCAAAAATGTGTAATGTTTTATAGTCTTGGAGACTATTTTTGTTTGTGGTAACATGCAACTTCACTACTTAATAATATCTCTTGGTAATGAGTAGTTGTCGTGTACTTGAATGTGTCTCAACAGATACCCAAAGGTTCAAGTTTTGACATTGGATGAAAATAAAGTAAACAAGTAAATAACTCATCAAATTTAATTGAAGTTAGTTCCATAGTGAGAGAGAAGATGAGCGTAAAAGAATATACTCAGAAAATGTGAAATCAAAAACGGAAAAACAAATATTTGAAGAGTCAACACTAGCTACATCACACCAACAAAATATATCTGAACTTTTAATTGTAAGACTCGAATTGTTGTTAGAATTCAAAGCAACAAAAACATAATAGTTCAAGAGGAATCTCAATTAGGGATTAGCCAATGAAATGAATACATATGTGAGAGTCAAAATTTGTCAAGGTATTATGAAGTTGTTAAGAAATATATATAATTGAGAATTTCCAAGCTAGGCTCAAAATGTTTATAGATATAAAATACTAAGAAAATAATTTCATAGAGTGATAGAAATTTGAAAATCCATCACGAAATGCCAATATTAAGTATCAATGAAGTCAAGTATGAGGACTGGAGAAAATGTATTGTAAAACATATAAGAAACCAAGTTTAAACTATGATAAGAAATTGAAGTATAAAGCATTATTCTACATCATATTTCGTGATCAGCTATATAAATAATTGTAAGACGAGAATCTATTTAGATGTCGAGGAGAAAAAGAAGAGAACTTAGCTTCAGCCTAAGCACACGAAGCAATGTGTGGTATTCACTGGGAGATGAAATGAGTTGTCTTAAAAATGATGTAGGACTGAAAAACAATTGTCCTAGTAATTAGGGAATTTCTTATCCCGTCATATGGTATAGAAAAATATCTTATAAAAAATTAAAAAATATTTATCAGATTTTAGAAAATCTTCAAACGTATTATGTATCAGTTTTATGACATATCAAACGAGTATTCCTTTAGATTAACACAATATATTATTTCAGAGATGTATCTTTGATATTTTTAAACAAATATATTGACATTTGAGCAACCCAATAGAATGAACGAAGATGCATCTACAGAGGTTTTGGGCATGATTTTGAAATTTCTATTAACATTGCATATCAGATATTTTCAGAAATGCATCTCCGAAATAATTTGATAAAACACTCACTTGAATGATCACACAATCATATTTGTATTCTACTCCAAACCCTTATCAAAAACCCTTTGATTCTCAATTCACATTTTCACTCCAAATCTTCAATCTTGTATTTCATCGCATTAAAGGGACTAAAAGAAGTTGGAATTCCAAGTTTAAAAAAAATTATTTCAAGCCTCATTGCTTACATTAATCTTGTTTTAAGTATGAAAAATCTGTATTTTATCTGGAGATACATCTTCGGAGTCTGTATGAACTCGTCTGAAAATGCATCTCTGGTACCTCTCTGTTATCAGTTTTCCAGTTTTGTTTACAGTATTAGCACTTATTGAGTGTTTAGTTGTAATTGTTTTTATTAGATATGGTGTACCCTGATGTTTTCCCCAAACATGTTGTGTCTCCGGATTCCAAAGGTGTTGTTGTGAAGCCGGTAGATGTTAGCTACCAATTTAAAAATGAACAAGAACTTGAATTTCGCGATCACATGCTTTAATGGATTCGTACGGAGGTCTCCAAATTGGAATTTGGTGTGGTAATCGGAAGGTCCGATAATAGTTTGGATAGAAGATGTACATCTGTGACAATGACATGTGAAAGAAGTGAGAAATATAGATCTCTTCTCCGACATTTTAAACGAGATGACATCGGTTCAAGAAAATGTGAGTGCCCCTTTAAGTTCCTTGGTTATATGTTGGCAAATAGAAATGGAAATTTAATGTCATATATGATTTACATAACCATGACTTATGTGAAAAGTTAGTTAGTCATCCAATTGGGTGTCGCCTCATGTCGGAAGAGAAGGAATGTGTTTTAGACATGACATTGAATTTTCTTTAACTGAAAAACATACTTGCAACTTTGAAACGTAAAAAACCTGAAAATATCTGAAATATCAAGCAAGTATATAATATTTAGTACCAAACTAACAAGGCGCTAAGGGGCGAAAGAACTGAAATGTAAAAACACTTGAAACTGTTGGATGGTAACAATTATGTTTCCAGGTACCAAACGTGCGAGGATGGAGTAAGCGTTAGAGATAGATTTTGGACTCATCTTGATTCCATCAAGTTATTCAACATGTTTCCTACTATGCTCATCATTGATTCAACATATAAGATCAACAAGTACAAACTTTCATTATTGGAGATGGTTGGTGTTGCCTCCATTGAGAAGACATATTCTGTCGGATTTGCATTTCTAGAGAGAGAAAAAGAGGAGAATGTTACTTAGGTCTCAGAGTTGTGCCGAGAAATGTTGAAGGATCAATAAGAGATGGCTAAAGTGATTGTTACCGACTGCAATACCACTTTGATGAATTCAGTTGCAAAGGTATTTCCTACTTCTTATGCGTTACTTTGTAGGTATCACATAACAAAGAATATGAGAAGTCGGGTCAAACCTGCGGTAGGGATGAAACAGATAAAGGCCGAAGATGAAAAAATGGTGAAGGCGTGTGTGATAGTGCAAAAAATAATGGATGCATGAAATCTTATAGTAAATTCTTCTACTAAAGAGTTATATGTCGATTCCGTTATAAATTTCAGGAAGGTGTGCGAGAAATATCTAGATTTTTCGAAATATGTTGAAAGCAAAATTCTTTACCAGGTGAAGGAGAAAATTGTTTGTGGATGGAGTGATCAGGTTAGACACCTTGAAAATACAACAATAAACTGAGTTGAGTCTGCCCATGCTACATTGAAGAATTGGTTGGGATATAGTAAGGTGATTCGTGTAGAGATTGAGATTCCATGAACCAAATGATCCATAACCAGCATAATAAGATACAAACATCGTTTGGTCAGAGCATCACAGTTTTGGAACACAGATTTAAAGACAACAATCTTATTCTTAGTTGGTCGGCAACATATCTCTAGTGAGTTTGAATTATATTTTTCACGAAGCTAAATGAGTTGATAATGTAGGCTCCGATAGGCGTAAAGTGTAACACCTATGGCCAAAGAGGGCGACGAGTGGTTACATGTAAAACTTGAGGGCAAGAAAGTGGTTGTCGGTGCACGAGGTATGACAATGATACACTCTTAGCAGCTTCTAGGGAAAAACCGAATTCACATCGGAATGAGAGACATCCTGAGGTTGTGTGAGTATGAGACTGCATGGTTAAAGGAAGACTTATAAGGATTTATGGGTACTACCTCTACTAACAAGATGCATCTTATTTTTGGTAGCTCGTTCCATAAGAAATCCACAATTAAGCATGCTTGACTTAGAGAAATTTCAGGATGGATGACCTTCTGGGAAGTTTCTCGGAAAGTGTGTGAGTGAGGACAAAGCATGCTGAAAAGGCCTGTGTTAGTCTGTGGTGTCAGTCAGTAATCCTGAAAGCAATATGGGGCATTACACAAAGTGTGGGTTCATAATTATGAAAACCTTTGGTCTCCTCATGTGCCTGTCTCCCATGTGCTTGAAACCAAGATGTCATATACCACTTACATTACCGAAGTGGACATCTCACTCAACAACAAAAGTCGAGACTTGGTCGGACCATTTTTTGAAAGGACGCAAGAATTTGAGAAATTGAACAACATTGAAAGAGAATAAAATGAACAAAAGTCAAAGTGGGTACAAGTTTAAATCTTTTGATTCGTTTTAGTTTTTTGTCATCAATTAACTTTATGTAATTGTGTATTAATATTAATGAAGTGTAATATATACAATTTCAAATGTTTTTAATAAATTTTTGATATCTTCATAATAAGATAATAGGGCGGTACCGGAAATGTATCTCCAAAACCAACACTGATGCTTGATAGAATTTTGTAGGTCCATATTTGTCTATAACTTCTATAAATTAGGGGATCTTGTTTTTTATTTCATACAAATAGAAAATATCTCTAAAGTCACAAATAAACATCATCTGGTATGTCACAAATGTCTCCTTCTCCAGCGCGACATCCGAGCAAAAGTTTAGTCTCAATGAGTACACCTCTTTTGCAAATTTGCAATACGAAGTGCTTAATCTCCTACCTTACGGAAATAATAAAAAAATCGTGAATTTTGAGTACCCTTCACCGTCAATTAATAATGAAGGCAAGATTGAGTTCAACAACTATGAGCTCAAGACGGATGCAGATGTACAGACTATGTGAAATACACTTTCCGTTTGAAAACAAAAGTTTCGCTCGATTTGGAAGCGACGATTTCAAGATCGGTCTGAAGATGTTGAAACGTCCACTTAGATATTGAAATGTAATGTTTCATTTTATGTTGAAATCACATATGTAATGTTGGTTTATGTTATGAATAATAATTTTATTTGTCAAAATACAAGTTTCTGGTTTTCTACTTTTGTTTCTGGTACACATATGTTACAGAGATGCATCTACGGACAGATTCAAGAGATACATCTCAGGATTTAAAAAACCAACTAATAGGGTGTCACTCATGATTCACATATGTTGTGTGTGCTTGGGGTGCGTTCGGAGATGCATCTTCGAAAAATAAAGGCATTTTAGTATTTTTCACGTGATGCGCGAGTAATATATAGGGTGCATTAAGAAGTTCTCAGTAATTATACCAACAAAAACCACTATGTGACACGTTAAATTATCGTACACACAAGGAATTTATTAACTTCTTACAAGGACAAGCTGATTGCACTAATGAATTCGGCACACTATATGGATAACAATAATGTGGATGTGTAGACCACAATTGATTGGTTTGTGTGCTTAATTATAAATCTAAATGATAACTAACGACTGAAAAATATAATT